GAGAAAACCAAGTATTTTTATGGGAACACTAAAATAGTGATTCTGGCCCAGGTTCAGGCACTCGAGAACCAGGATAGGCTGCCTCCAACTGAAGCATGAGGTCTCTATAAGTAGCCATTTATGCCAGTGGTTTTAGCTGGATAATTTGCGTGTGGGTTTATCACCAGAAAGCCAGAAATGCTTGATATAGACCAGGAAAAAAGCGGGGGGAGGCCTACGGCAGAGGTGTTTCAACAAAGGTACAACTGCGGACCTCTTCTGCTTTTCTCTACATTTTAAGCAGCTTAGGAAAGAGGTGTGGCAGCTCCATTTCAGAGCCAAGAGGAGGTCTATGAGGAGACAGTAAACAGGATAGGAACTTAAACTTGAACCATTGTGTTTGCTTTCCTTCCAGTGATAAATTTTCCTGGTTAGTTCCTGATATCTATGAAAAGCAGCAATTTTTCCTATGGGAACACTTCCTGCCCCACCTCCTGGATAGAACAGAGAAAGGCGGTGACTAGTCTAATGATTTTTCAATGGTGTAAACAGTATGCCTCCCCTTCACTGGTTGAGATGCAATTAAAAAACATTTCCAGTTAATCACTCACATACTATGATAACCAGATGTACAGTATCTACCTCTCTACCCTTTTTGTCCCCAAGAGCCCTGGGGACTTAGTATAAAAGGGGCTTGTGGAGAGAGGGAACCAAAGTATTGGTATAGTTCACTATTACTGTACTTTGGGTTTGGCTCTCAGGGTGCTGTGGGCAAAAGTTTGTCCCACCAGATCCTCTCACCAGTCTTCCAGGTTTTTGCACTTGACTCAGACTGCTGTGCCTGAGTTCCGAGGTTATTATGATGCTTTTGCTTCATGTGCGTATGTCCAACTATTGTTCCCAGGAGTGCAAATACTACACCAGAGTCGTTGAGCCCTGGGGAATTTCAGCTTTAGCAACACCCTAGGCCACAATCAGTTTTCCTCCATGACACTCAGGCCTTGTGTTCAGCCTAGGCTACAGCCCATACTTGCTCTTCCCTCAACATTAATTCTGTTTGGGGGGCTCTTGGTGTCTTTTTCTTGTCATCAGACTTTCATAAAGACATTGAAAACCCATCATGGAAAATCTCTCTAAATTAATTCTCAGAAATCTGCTGAATTCATTCTTATACAAATTGTTTTACTTTTGTCCAGACACGTAATATCATTCATTCGCCCATTTACCTAGGAAATATTTATTGAATACCTACTATATCCCAGACATTGTAACAAGCACTGGGTATACATTAATAAAACAGGCAGGATCCCTGCCATCATGGATCATATAGTTTAATGGGAAGATAAAAAGTAAGTAATATAAACAGACATATAAATACATATTTAAAAATTATGATAAGTAGCATGAACAACATGAAGGCAAAGCGGAGATTACTCAACACTGTCAGGGAAGGAATCTCCCAGGAGGTGGTGTTTAAGCCCTTGGCCTAAGGCTGAGAAAGCCAGCATCAAGAGCTGAGGGGAGAGTGTTCCGGACAGAAAGAATGGTATGTGAAGAGTTCTGCAATGAGAAAGCCTTTGGAGCACAGGCAGTCCTTCCTTTGCACGGTCCCAATATGTAGGGATTTCAATTAGCACAGTTGAGTCAAATAACACCAGTCTTTTGAGTACACTGTTGATTTCAGCTGCCATAGTATATTAATTGTGAGCAGTTGCATAAAGGAAAAACTTCACTGCTCGCTCTTTTGTCCACGAATCACTATGTAAATGAGAGCTGCACATCATGATCAATGACCAATTGCATGACTTCTTTCAAAGTTTGGTGGTTGCTCACTGGGCATCTGTTATTCAGTTTACCTACAAACAACAACGAGTGTGGTTGCGATGCCTTCTTTTTTCCCAATGATAAGCTTAGGTGCCACTTTATAAAAATGAATAATCGAAAGGAGGAATTGTCTGACAGAGATCAACGTACAGAAGAGAAATTAAAAAAAAAAAAACCCACAACACTGGCAGTAAAATTTGAATCAAATGGGAATGCATTTATAGAAGAAATAGTTTATGGTGGTATTGTTGACCCTGCTAATTGTTTGAAAGGCTGCAGCTATGCAGCCAGAGGAACTTAGTGAAGACAAACTTACCGACATAAATGAGGAAAGCAGTTGTGACACTGAGTGTAAAGATGTTCCAGAGGAAGTGACACCAGCAAAGCACTTCACATTAAATGAATTCTCAGAGATAATTTATAATGTTGAAAGTGCAAAGGATAAAATGTTGGCAGGTGATCCAAACGTAGAGAGTATGGCAATTCAGCAAAGCATAGACAAGATGTTTGCTCTATAACATATGCTATATAATAAGAAGACAGCATGCATGGTTCAAACTACTCTTGACCATTTTTTACAAAAAATAAAACACTATAATTCTCCATGCTTCTAATGTTTTAAATTATGGCATAATAAATATATTTCACTTTTGCTAATTTTTTCATTTCCCTACTCATTTATAACTGACAAAAGGAGAGTACTAAATGTTTTGACAAAAAATTAAAAGTCACAGAACAATTGTGATATTTCCCACTTATTAATAAAGTTGCTTTGCATGGTTGCAGATTTAATGGTCATTTACAGTCCCATACTACTATGCAAAGCCAGAACTATCTGCATTTTATGGTTTTTAAAAAATGTTTATTTATTTTGAAAGAGAGTATGAAAAAGAAAGAGAGAGCGTGTGCGCACACGCAGGCATGAGTGGGGGAGAGGTAGAGAGCGAGGGAGAGAGAGAATCTGTGCTGATAGCACAGAGCCCCATGTGGGGCTCGATCTCATGATCGCACAAACTGTGAGATCATGACCTGAGCTGAAATCAAGAGTCTTAACCTACTGAGCCACCCAGGCACCTCATCTGTATTTTTTTAAAGCTTATCTGCTAACATATATTGGAGATGCTATCCCAGGACAACAAAAGTGAAGGCAATATTATCAGTGGCTGCCGTATGGAGACTGAAGTCACAAAGAGTTATTCTTCTGATTACTTGTGCTCTAAGAAAGAGAATTTGAAATAAGGTTTCTGTTGCTATACACATTTTTAAATGAAAGGTCCGGACAAAAAGGGAAGATTCCAGCAGGATGTTGGTGTCTTCTTTTTATTTTTAAATTTGAGTCTGTCAATGGAGAAATAACAAGAGATGCATCTCACAATGCAATCCCAACAGTAGAACATTAACCCAACCCTAATCCCAACTTCTTCGAGTATAAGGACAAATCTGAGAAAGACCCCGAGACTTTTTACTTCTCCTAGTCTGTCTTCTGTTTAGAGAGCTGAAAGTTGGAGCTTTTCTGCAGTAGTTGAAGGTGTTGTTGAGTCTCCTCTTTGACCATTATTTTCCTGCTTCCTTTCATGAGAACCCAGGAGAAAATTAAGTTCCATGCATAATTTCTTTTCCTTTTTCAGTTCTTTTTCTCTGAGATTCAACACCGCCACCAACCACTACCACAATTCCAAGATCTGTGATATTCTGTTGAATAAAACTTGTAGTCCCAAGAGTATTTAGAAGGAAGTAGATTGAGGGGTGCCTGGGTGGCTCAGTCGGTTAAGCGTCCGACTTCGGCTCAGGTCATGATCTCACAGTTTGTGGGTTCGAGCCCCGCATCAGGCTCTGTGCTGACAACTCAGAGCCTGGAGCCTGCTTCAGATTCTGTGTCTCCCTCTCTCTCTCTGCCTCTCCTCAGCTTGCACTCTGTCTCTCTCTCCCTCAAAATAAATAAACATTAAAAAAATTAAAAAAAAGAAGGAAGTAGATAGACACGACACAAGCCTGCAAAGGCTGAGAGTCGGGGAGGGTGTTCAATCCTTTAAGTTTTGCAGTTTGGAGATCAGCTTTTGTGGACTCTAAAACTGCCAGAAGTCTGAACTTAAGCTCTAGGCAAGAAGTCCTCAAAATTAGCATACCAGTGGTTTCTCCTGTTGTCAATGGATGTGAGTTTACCAACTATAGTGGTGTTTCACACATTTCTTAAATCCTAGGGAGCAGGGGTTTCCAGCAAAGTTTTTTTCTCTGTTAAAAACAATACTGGAGGAAGTCTTAAGCCATGGAATATTAATGCTTTATTGTAAGACACACAGTCAGGAGAGTTTATCTTCTGTGATTTTATCTTACTTGGACCTCATTCCAGAAAGAAAAAAATATTTGCAAACATGCCCTCAATGTGAATTGGGAAAGTTTAAGCTGCCATGCCTCCATTTCAGGCCAGACATGATAAACTGTTTACAGACCCCAGGTCCAGTTGACTCTAAACAATTCATCAATATCAGTCAAAGGGTTTACTTCTTAACAATATCGGTACTTGTATATTCCAAGTGTTGCTTAGTATTATCAGTAATTAACATCAGAACCAGACATATAACCAAAATGCAAATGTAAAAACACATTTTCTGCCTAAAGGCCATGTTTTTAAAGTTCTCAAATTTCTGAATACTATCATCCAAGTCTTGGACATAGTTTTCTAAGATTTTTACTAGAGTTCTAATGGAAGGAAGAAAATGAAGGTCTATTCTAAAACGTCTTTAGCCAGCAAAATATTTTTTGTATATTTACGAATTTACTTTTAAAATTTTGGTTCTCCTTCATCTAAACTTTTACATTTTTTTGTGTTCTGTTTTTTACACAATCTACCAGGGTAGTAACACGTATACAAATAAGCAAACATACATTGTGGATCCATGTTCAAAATGTTTTATGTTATGGGTCTATAATAAAAATAAATTGTGGACCACTGCCTTAAAGAAATTTCCATTTAGAGAGTAGATGAATGATATTTTTACAAGTTGAAGATTATGGTACATCTTTGAAGCAGGAATGTTGACCAAAATTTTGATCCACATACAAGCTGAAAACACTAATTTCTAAGGATTGAATATGGTATTGGTATCCTACGTTAAATCAATCAATCAATCAACCATTAGCCAACTAACTCACAAAACTTCGATCTTTATGGAAGTTCCTTTCCTTACTAACTAGAATCTCTGAAGGGCTTAATGTCACAAAAAATCAACTGAAAAAAATATTCACCTATAGAAGACTAAACGAACCAATCAACTCTGCCAGAAAGTTGGGGGTTTAGTGAAAGATTCTTTTGTCTAAGTTATTTGATGTCATGCAGTGGAAACAACAAATTGAGTGAATTTGTGATTTTCCTACCTATCTTGTCACCATTGCAAAAAGACATATAGAAATTCCCACCAGAGAATTGACTCTTCATCTCAAGTAGCACAAGCTCTTTTCTTAAGCTAGAATTCAAGCATGATCATTTTGTGACAATGGTTCTGCTTCTAGTAAAATTAATGTTTAGCCCATGTGGTGAACCACAATTTGCCCTTCATTATTCACAATTTCTAATGGCATACAATATAATTATTGTTAAATAGAGATAACACGAGGAATAACAAAAGAATAAATGTTTTCAATTTTAGATACTGATTACCCCCCAAAATAATTATTGCCATCACAATGTAACAAAGTGTTAAAATGGGACTCTTTCCGTCTCGGTTTCTGCTTAGGCCCAATAGGTGTTTTCTCTTCCCTCATTCCAAAGCGAGATGCTATGCCACTAAAACAGGAGCAAAGGAGATACACAAGAATTAGTCTTGCAACCCACTGGTGACCACTTCCAGCTTCTAAAATATATTGCAGAAACCAAGAGATGGGCGTAGATTGGAAGAAGATTTGGAAAGTCTTACCATTGTATATGATGGGGAGAGGTACTCTTCCCTCAACTCAAGCCTAGGGAACGTGGCTCCAATGGCACTGATAGGTTCAACAGGAGAGCTTGGGGACACTGCACACCAACTTCAAGTCTCTACCTAGGAAATCTAGAGTAAGAGGGACAGGCTGCCTCGCTGTTTTGATGGCAGAATAAGAGATGCGTTCATACTGGAAAGAAACGGACTTTTGTCAGAGCAAAGTACATGAAGGGATTCCCATGAACCAATACAGATTGAGAAAGAGACTTAGCATGGTATTGTTTCACATGATGGCCAAGAGACCTCCCGAAGGGTGGGGAGATCTCTGTGAAAGGAGTCTGGATGTGTTCCCTTGGATGGCAGGAGAAATGTAATTGTCCACCACCAAGGACTATTGTGAGAAATTTCCAGTGATGACAGAGTTCTCCCAAGGACCCTCAAAAGCACCCCAGAAGATAAAGTGTCAGCCTTAAGCACCTAGGCCAATGCTAAATTGCTAGAACAGAATCAGACTTTGCCTGACCCTTAACTCCTCACTTTCCCTTGGCTTTACTTGGAGCGACTAAAGGTGGGAAATAGAGGAAACAATTCATGGTCCCTCGTCCCTTTAGAGGAGGCCGGCTTGAATCAGGCATGAGATGGAAGGAAGAAGGGTGTTAACTTGCAGTACATTTCTTAGAGTTAAAAAAAATCATTATTATTATTATGCATTATTTTACTAAGACTCTTTGGAGGGAATAAAGTAAGCACAGAGTATTTTTTTTTTTTTTTATTTTCTGAAAGTTACCAGAAAAGCCACAAGGCCCATTGTATTTGACCAGGGACAAGTAAAGAACAAATCTCCAAAGAAGAGATTTGAAGGGTGGTAGAGGAAAAAGAATGAAAATGTTTTCTATGGTATGGACATTATAAATTCTGTTCATATAATCTAATGATTTCAATAATAATAGCTAAAATTTATCAAGTGCTTATTCTAAGCCAGACACCGTCTGCTTTGCATGTATTAAATCATTCCATCCTCACAATGCTATAAGATTATTATACTCATTTTCTAGGTGAGAAATCGAGGTGCAGAGAGAGGTTAGGCAACCTGCCTGAAGTGGCACTACTAGTAAGTGGCTAAGCCACCAAGAGGGCTATTCCCAGCAAATAAGAATTCAACCTCTTTCCTCAAATTTTTCTTTTCTCTCCACATCCAAAATATTGGATATCAAAAATGGAGGGGCTCCTGGCTGGCTCAGTCAATTAAGTGTCCGACTTCAGCTCAGGTCATGATCTCACTGTTCGTGAGTTCGAGTCCCGCGTCGGGCTCTGTGCTCACAGCTCGGAGCCCGGAGCCTGCTTCGGATTCTGTGTCTCCCTCTCTCTCTGCCCCTTCCCTGCTTGCACTGTGTCTCTCTCTGTCTCAAAAAGAAATAAACATTAAAAAAATTTTTTTTAAATAAAAAATTTAAAAAAAAGGAAACCACAGCCTTATCAATTTTAGCGCGTTAGCACTTTGCAGGAACACATGAGGCTACATGTGATTTTCTACGCTTTGTTTCAAGAATCGAACACCGAGTCACCCCAGTTCAATGGGGTCTTTTTCTTAAATATCTATTTCTCTTGAATTTTCTTTTTTCTTTTGTGTAGATGTGGACAGCCACTACAAAATAAAGTACAGCTGAAGGGTCGTGACCTCCTCACTCTAAAGGACTTTACAGGAGAAGAAATTAAGTATATGTTATGGCTATCGTCAGATCTAAAATTGAGGATAAAACATAAAGGAGAGGTATGTAGCATTTTCATTTTACCTTCCCCTACTACCAGCCCTTTTAAAGACAGCCTTTCCAAAGAAAGAGGGAAAAGAAAATATATTAAAATTCCTAAACAGTAGCTAAGTAATGAAACCACACAGTCAAGGTAATTGATTATCACTGAGTGTACAGGCATATAAAAAGCATAAAAATCAGTTATTCAATGACAAGTCATTGTGCTTCTCTCATGCGGAATGTTGAAATTCATTATTAATTGGATCAGAACCTAAGGAATCATTTCTCTGGAAAGATTTTATTTTTATACCTTCATTCTTTTCTCTGTGTGTTTTCTATCAAGTTAAAAATAAGGACAATACTTTTTTTTTTCTTCCTGGCAACAAATTTCAATTGTGGATGAATATCAGATATATGATTATTAGGATAATGTCCAAAAATTCACAGTGATGTTACCGTGTTGAAAATAATTCAGATTAGCAAGGAAACAATTAAGTGGTAACCAAGTAGGAGAAGAGATGGGATATGGTGCTTAGCTGTAAGCATTATTCTGCATTTTGAACAATTTATGTTTGAAACGCGCTTAATTCATGCAGCAGTCTCATTTAGACCGCTTAATTGTGAAAGCATACGTGTTCCAAGCTTGTTCAAAAGCACTTTAAAGAGCTGGTGCCAGGCCAAGAAAGGTTTACACAACCTTGATTTTCTTAATCTAGTTCACTAGCTCTCCAAGTTCTGAGAACAGGAGTGACTCCAAGTGCTATGGGTTGACATTCCCATAGAAGACCTGAAATAAGCAGAAAAGGTCCCCCAAGATCCCAGGCCTGTTCTTCATACTTCATGTGTAAGAAGAGTTAGCTGGCAGGAATCTATTTGTTCCAGAACTCACCCTATCAGGAAGTCCATCTACAGAAGAGGAAGAAGGAAAAGCCCCACCCCACACCCAAACTCTCCAGATTGTTTCCAAAAGACTTCTAGAAACAAAGCCTTTGTGCTCCCACAAGGATGCATGAGAAAAGTGTAGCTGGGGCTTCATCCTTAGGAGTCTTACTGCCCCATGTTGTGACAGAGCAGCATTGTTTCTAGCTGAGAAAACACTTCTGAACCAAGCGTCTTCAAGGTCATTGAACATTGATAGGGGTTTCCATGGATTTAGGTAAAAAGACGGTTCCAGTAAGAAATATTAACATACTTCAGAACAAGTGTTCAGGTTGAACCCAGAGCAACTAATATTTTGGAATTACATGCCCATTATCTGTAGTTCTTGTTCCCTTCCTCCTATTTGTACAGAACATGACAAAAACCACTTTTTAAAAAATTTTTAAATGTTTTTATTTTATTTTTGAGACACACACACACACACACACACACACACACACACACCCCAGTGAGAGCAGGGGAGGGGCAGAGAGACATAGAATCTGAAGCAGGCTCCAAGCTCTGAGCTGTCAGCACAGAGACTGATGCGGGGCTCAAACCCAGGGACTGTGAGATCATGACCTGAGCTGAAGTTGGACACTTAACCAACTGAGCCACCCAGGTGCCCCATGACAAAAAAACACTTTAAATGCACTTTTACAGTAACATTTTGAGTGCTTATTTGGATGGAAGCAGTGATTAGTTATTCTACATTTTCTGATAATGTAAGGAATAACTTTTGAAACATAATCTTTGATACTGGATATTAAATATATTTTTCATTTTAATTGTATTCTTGTCCTTAATTTTCAGTATTTGCCTTTATTACAAGGGAAGTCCTTAGGCATGATTTTTGAAAAAAGAAGTACTCGAACAAGACTGTCCACAGAAACAGGTGAGTCCACCGACAAGGTCACACTTGTGCTGAAGAGGGGGCCAGAGGGTGAGGATCTGGGAGGAATCATCCAGTGGGGGAATTTGTGTCTCTTTAACAACCACAAAGGGAAAACACTGTCACTGGGAGTACCAGGGCAAGCCTCTGAATGCTCTTTCCAATTCTCAAAGAAGCTGTAAGCAGAAAGGTTAGTGTCATCTGTAGGAATTCCATGAACACTTGATTAGAAGTCTCCAAGAGCTTTTCGTGTTCAGTAGAAAATGTGAGTGGACACAAATTCTCAGCCTTCAAACTCACGTGGGCAAGAAATGTGTATTTTCCCAACACGTAAAGGATTTTCTCTAGCCTGTACCAATTTTGCAGGATGGTGGAAACCTAATCTTCGCAATGTTAGGCAATCCTCAGTCATTTCAGGGTTTACTTTGTCAATTTGGGTTCTCCTCTCCCCTTCCCCACAGTCATGGTTAAGTCCCGGAGAGTACGTGAGTAAGACATCTAGGGCTATGGGGGTTTGGTCATTGGTCAGCAGGACATCATCATCAAATGGCCACACTGGAGTCTGCTGAGACTTCCGTATCCCCATTGGACCTTGGCTGTCTCCCATTCACTGTGGAGTCTGCTGCACTTGGATCATCACAAGACGTGAAATATTTCTCGGTTGACTCTCCCAACCTCTTGGCAGTTCTCCTTGCCATCCTGTGTACAGAGAAACTGCAAGGCTTTCTCAATCCTTCCTTCCTCAATCTGGGCGCCACGGAGTACTATAACATGTGTTGCCTCCTAGAACTCTGTCTTAAAGGCAAGACACACATGTTATCAGCTCTGGGGTTCCCCAAACTCATCTGAAATGTCCATCACGCATCCACCCTTCAGTACGTGGCCTGGGAGGACAGATGACAGGTACAGTGTCAAAGGTCCATCACTTTTTATTTCTTCTGCTGCTTCTTTCTCTTGCTCCTCTTTTTCCCCTTCCAGTTCCCAGTATTGGAGGCTAGGTGATAAAGCAGGAAGAAAAAACTGGCTCTGACTCACCAAGATGTCTTTCAAATCTACTGTTTGTGCCTGGAATTGTAAGCTATTAAAACTCAAAATTTCTCTTTTCTTAAGCTATTATCTCTGTAATATTTCAAAAAAGTCCATTTTTAAACTTGTAAGCCACACACCACCTCTTTTCTTTCTCTCTGCATTTCTGCTTTATCAGACCTCCCCTGAATCAATAAAATGACTGCCCAAATGGACAAATGGATAGGATCAAGTAGGAGGAACCACAAACAAAAACATTGGTTGTTTCTTCAAATAGCTC